GTACAGGCCAGTATAGACCACAGACTGTGGGTCTTTAGACTGCTGCTCCAGGGGGAAGGTCACCCCACCCACACTCATTGACCTGCATTGACCAGATCACACAGCAAAAATAGAATCATCACAAAACAGCAAAGGTATGAAATGCATGAATGAAAATAGTTTTACACAAAGAGGGAGGGAGAGAGAAAAGCAGAGAGAGAGAGACTTGTGTTGACAAATCAGTTGATGAAATAGGGCTACAGCTGGGTTTCACCGGCTTGCCCCACATTCAGTTCAACACCACCTATGCATCACTGCGTGTGTGACCTAGTTTTACATTGGAGTGCTCCTTCAGTGATGTTTTTACATCCTGGTAGTTAAATATCCGACGCTAATCCTTATTGGGAGATGCGAGTACGACAACTCACATTACATAATCATGAATTGTAGGCAAATCCCAGGAGGGTGGTGCCACAAAGCCCAAACACTGGAGTCCTAATCTGCGGGGGATTTGACGTGCAGCCAGTTGGGGGTTATGCTGCCTTTATGTGCTGCACGTAAAATCCAACTTTTGAACGTTGAACTTGGAAACAGCCTCTTTACCCCGTTGAGCGCTCCAGCAAGGCTTGCTTCTAATTCAGTTATTATTATTATTATTATTATTATTATTATTATTATTATTATTATTATTATTATTAAAAGCTACTTAAAAGAGGTAAAGGGATGTGTTGTTTTAGGCTCTCTGTATTTTAGGCTTGAAAATCAAAATCAAGCCTAAAATACAGAGACCATAAGAACATCGTTGTAATCGACTGCAGGTTTAAAATCTGCACTTGCCTTCTCTTCAGCATATCTGCTAAAGTCAGTGGTATTAGTGCGTCTGCCTTACCCTTGGTCAGTTACAACAAAGACATGTATCTAATTACTCTCAGTGCAGATGAAGCAGAAAAGCAGTGGTGCTGGAGTGCAGGCTATTTCGCTTTAAATGGGAAATACAATCAGAAACAAACAATACGACAAAGAAGTCCCAATATTTAATAAATTCAGGGAGGATTAATAAAATATTCGTAAAACAACGTCATACAACCCCACAGGTTGCTATAGAAATAATTATTTAAAGGGAAAATATCATCAAAAATGGCAAATCAGACAGAAGGAAAAAATCTTCATTATTTGAAAGGCTTTCTGAGCTTTTATCTCCATGCTCCAATAACGTATGCGCGAAAATATCAGCGACGTTGATAAATGAAATGATCTTTGCGTTTCCAAAATAGAATATAGATGTAGAATATGGTGATCTGGACGTGATAGTTGCCTCCCTGGATTAATAGGTTTTCTAGCAGTTTGGTTGGGTTATGACCTGGTCAGGAAAATCCACATGGGCTACCTACGTGGCCTCGACCGCTCCTGGTTTAACAACCACCTCGATTTTGTACTTCGACCCAGTCAGAAGCTTGATGGTCCGGGTCTGTCCGAACCGGGTCCCGTCGGATTTGAAGTGCACGGCTGTGTTGTTAGGAAGCATCTTCAATGAAATCCCAATTTTCACGATCTGCGGAACGTTGGCCATGTTTCCATATAGCTAGTGTATCTCAGGAGGACCGCGGGGTGTGGGAGGGACCGTCGATCAGTTCGTGGAAACTGAGAAATGCCGTGTGGTGAATCCCAGAGAGCACCGCGCAGCACGGGGAATTGCGCTGCGTAATCCCGTCCAACCTCCAGAATATAAACCTAATCCCAACCGTTGCACTCTCTCTCTCTCTCTCTCGCTCTCTCTCTATACACACTCTATCACCGACTCTAGCCACCATCCTCTCGGTCGCTCTCTCACCTATCGTCACTGTTTGCATGCAACACAACCAATGCTGCTAGTATAATATGTCATCTCTTCTTTCTCTGTATATCTATGTATATCTACGTTGTCATCGACCAATGTAAAATTTGTGTCTCGCTGTCCTTGGTCCTGAAGTCGTGCCAGTTAAGACAGCGGAACACTTAAAGTGATCCTCAAAGGACCGATTAATCCTTGAATACTCTTAACACCGCGCGCAACTCTCCTTGGGTTAAGCGTCGAAAGTGACACATCGTAACAAAAACCCTTAAAATGAAGCAGTTTGAATTTTAACCCCCAAATGCACGAAGAAACAAACCTGGTCTCAAATTCTGTTCACAGAGCCGAATGACTGAAATTAGTCAGTATACAGTAAACAGCATTAGTCTAGCTGGCAGTAGTTTCGAATCTATTTATTGAAAAGAGAAGCGTTATCTATATACACTAGAAAACACCAATTTTTTCAGGTTTTTATTGAAAATTATGCAGTTTAATGTCTCATTGAGCTCTGAAATGAAAGCATAGTACAAATAAGTAATTTGAGTTAAAAAAAAGAAATCATGGAATCAATTTAGAAACCAAAATTTATTCTAAACCTTTGACTCATCAAAGTAGCCACCTTTGGCAGACATAACAGCTGAACACCCCGGTGGCAAACCAGCTTAATAAGGTTTAAGTCTGGAGACTGTGCTGGCCACTCCATATTTTCAAGCTTACTGTCTTGTTCTTTTTTCCTAAGTAAGTTTCTGGCATAGCTTGGACTTATGTTGTGGGTCATTATCTTGCTGTAGGATGAACCCCTGACCAACTAGAGGCCTACCAGAGGGTGTCGCATGCTGCTGCAGAATGCTGTGGTAGCCGTTTTGGTTCAGGGTGCCTCTCACGCTGTACAAGTCATTGACCCTGGATCCAGCAAAACAGCCCCAGACCATCACACTTCCTCCTACATGTTTGACAGTTGATGCCACACACTGTGGAAACATCCTTTCGCATACTCGATGGTGTACAAAGATCCTGCGTGATGAACTGAAGATTTCAAATTTTGTTTCGTCAGTCCATAATACCTTCTTCCAGTCTTTAGTAATCCAATGGTGGTATTTCATGGCCCAGACAAGCCTCTTTGTCTTATTCTGGCATCTTAGCAATGGCTTTCTTGCTGCAACTCATCCTGTCAAACCTGCAGCTCGAAGTCTTCTCTGCACAGTTAAAACTGAGACGTGCTTATTACGACCACTATGCTTGAAGCTGTTGTCCTGTGAGCCGCCTATCACGCAAGCTGTTAACTCCTAGAAACTTGTCCCCTGATTCAGTTATGGCTTTGGGTCTGCCAGACCTCTTCCTGTCAGAGTTTGCCCCATTTTCTGAGTGCCTTTAGATGGTGAAGGAAACTGTACTCACTGACGCCTTGAGATTCTTTGCAATTTCTCTGTAGGACTGACCTACATTTTTAAATGTTATGATGTTTTGTCTCTCTTCCATTGTTGATTGTCTTTTTCTCGCCATTTTGGTAGCAACACACTACTTTCTGCAGTACAATACTGTTCAGCTGATGCTCACAAGGCTATGGTACCACAGTATGTTCCAACACTGCTTTTATGCAGACAGAGGCGCTTGTAAGTAATCCAGAAAAGTTGGAACACCTGTAGGAATTAGTAGACCAGCTTTTAAGGCCTGATCAACGTCTATTGCTGCAGAGCAGCTTTAAATTGTTAACCCATTATGTGTCCCTTTTTTGGTATAATTCTGAAAATGTACATTATTTTTCACTTTTGGGTAAACTTACCCTTTTTTTAACCTCTGCCAGTTCACCACTTACCTTTGTACCATTTCAAGCTATCCATTCATGAGTTTATACGACTGGAATTGCAATAAATAACTGGAAAAATTTAGGTGTTCTAAAACGTTTGACCTGTAGTGTATATTCATAAAAAATGAACATGAAATTACATTTTCCTCTTTTTAAATCATTCCTCCAGCCATGATTTATATAAAAAAATAAATATGAATAAAACAATTTAACTGATAGGGATAAACCAGAGAGAAAGAAAGAAAGAAAAGGTCTTCATGTATGCTCAATCAAATCAATCAAAAGTCAAAACCACGATAAAATGGAAATATTCATGAGAAAATTCAAGAACGTCTAGATAGACGCTGTGGCGCAGGCCATTAAGTGGGTAACCCCCGTACGTCCTATGATTGACCACTAGAGGTCAGGCTTGGATCGGAACTGGAACAAGCCATGCACGCAAATAATAACTATTGTTTTTCTAGCTAACGCGGTGGAAACTGATGGCCATCACTTCTACAACTATTACTAATACAAAAGCTGTTAAGTCGGGCCTGAAAATACTTAGTTGTAATTAAATACAAAAGAAGTTAGTGACAAGTGATCAGATAGAAGGCTTAGAGTAAAAAACCATTCCGCTTCAGGGCCATCGAAGTGGAGATGTTTAAGTTATTATGGCAAGCAAGCAATTAAATAAATAATTAATTACAGCTCTTAAATTCAAGCCTAATTCATGTATTTTTATTTTTTTCCAGAACACATCGTGTACATTTAACTGGATATATCCAGTAAAGGTGGAAAATAAGGCAGTAGTTCTCCACGGGTCCCGTGATCGGTCAGTAGGGAAAAGCGTGACGCAGCTGTTACCAGCAGAGCATATTCTGTTTTGGGCGGAAATAGTTTTGGACCGAGCGGACCATCTTGTCTACAGCTGCCGAGTCCAGTTCTGTTTACTGTAAACTCTGTTTCTCCCAGTATGTAATAATGTTAATGTGCTGTTCATTCTCCTTTAAATGTAAGCAGTCATTCAAGTTTTATTTAGGCACATGTGTGTAGGTTAATCCTTGTACAGTCTTTAGTATTTCCCTTTACAGGCTACTACTTCATAGTTAACTTCCTCTGAAAGTCTTACCCCCAGAGGGACTTTCTTTCTTTGTAGAAGCGTTTCAAAGAAACTATGTTATTAGCTGTAGATAAGATATCTTTATTTTGCTATTTGATGCATTTTCTTACATAAACCAAGCACAGTGATCACGCTTTGGGGGGTTATTGGGCAGTTTCATCACCTGCGTAAAATCTGCGTCATTGGTGCATATATATATCTCTTGACGTTTCTTCGGTTAACATTTATCACCCAGATTGAAAATCTGCTATCGTTCAAGTCCAGATTTACGACATCTAATAATCTCGTGGCGCTGGTGGTGCTGCGCCCTTCCCGTCTGATGCGTAAAAGAGCACCATGACTAGCAGAGCACCGGCAGGCTTCACACACTTTGCCAGAAAGAGCCAAACCGGCGTGAGAGTGAGTTGAGTAACAAAGAGAGTGTGGGAGAGCCCTCCCCCCGTCAAATGTATCGATGGATCCACACCTTCATAACCCAACTCTTCTTCAGCTTCGCGCAGATGGCCAAAGTGTCCAAACCAGACCGTGAAACTGTTCAGCCAATAGATTAGTTATTTAACTCTTCATCCACTGCTTTGTTGTACTTAGTGTGTAGTGAAAGTCAAAGTAGCCACACACCCTCTGGCCCAAAAGCACTTGGCTACACGTGAATGCCTGCCGGTCTCCCAGCGCACTCCACGCTTGCGCTAGTTATGCCATGCCGCGAAGTCATACCGGCGACGAAAGCGGCGGCAGCGGGATCTGGCTAAAGACCTCGACTGGACGTCGGGGGCAGGACTACCCACTGAAAGATGTGGAGTGCGGACAGCAGACTATGAATAACGTTGTGGGTGTCGGGGACGGTCTCCTGTCTCCAGCCGCGGCAGGTGCGGTGGGAGCGGAGAGGAAACAGGGCGCCCGCCTGAGTCTGCTGGGGAAGCCGCTGACCTACAGCGCGCAGAGCAACCGCAGAAACGCACGCTACCGGCGGCTCCAGAATTACCTCTACAACGTTTTGGAAAGACCGAGGGAATGGGCTTTTGTTTACCACGCTTTTGTGTGAGTACTTATGCTTGTGCAGCACAGAACTAAACACTACAAGTCGTTTAGAATCTCATGTTTATGCTTTCCGATTGAATAGGAGTTCCCCACCTCTGAAAGCTGAATCAGTAAAATATTTTGTTAGGCAGGGATAAAAGTGAACACACAAGATATCAAAATATGTATTAATTTTTCTACTGATGATAATGATCAGTGTGGGTCATGATACATTTATATATCACCATCTCTGTGGTTTCTTCTTCTCTATGGAAGATGTTTGCATCTTCCTCTAAACATCCAACATGTCAAAAATCATGTAAACACTTTTTGGTTTAACCTTATTTATCTTGAAGGTCTTATGCCAGTTGTTGATACATTTAAATGGAATGAATATGTTACTTTTTGAATGTGACCACCTGTTGCTCCAGGTGTGCAGAAAAGACTAAGAACACAAAGCAAACACAATACAATGCTACTATCCTCCAGGACATTATTGGTAGCTCCAGCAGTTTTTGAGCTCTTTAAGATGGTCAGCAGACTGTCAGCTTAAAAAGGGAAAAATGTAATAACTGCTGCTCCCTTGCATGATCTTGGTTCTTTCATCACTTCTTTCTACAGAGAGAGGCATTGGGAAAAGCCCTGAAGGGACAATTTTAAAGCTGACATGTTGCAGTTCTTAAATTCAAACCAGTCCTCTACTGACCACAGCTTGTTTTTTCTTCCTTTTTGGTTATTTTTCTGGTGTGAAAATGCTTCATGATCAAAATTTCAGCTTCCAGCTTCCTTTCTCTTCATGCAGTTTCCATTAGCCATGGATTATTGTTAACATTCAAGCAAAGCTTTTCTTGCTCATAGCTGTCAAGATCTAGCTAAACTATCACAATTTGTTGTTCTATTGCTCTTACGAATCCTAGGATGTTTATCAACATGACACACACGTACTGTAAACTGTATCTATTATCCACATCCAACAGTTGTGGTCATATTTTTAGAGAAAGCTTTTCAAGCACTCATATACAGTGACAACCCTCAAAAATTCGTCTCTGCTTTTCCCTTTTTTTTGTGCAGATCACCTGTCAGTAGAAGTGTGTAGGTGGTGTTGGTGCACTGATTAAGCAAGGGTTTCTGGAAGTAGTTCTTATTTCACTGTCTGCTGTGGTGGCTGTTGATTCTCTCTGTTAAACGCAGGCTATGCAGTAAACCTATGCGACTCGTTCACACACATACCAGTGTCAGCATGGTTATGGGTGCAGATTAAAACACTGGATCCATTCCTTGTCCCAGTCAAGTCCCGTGTGAAGAGAAGGAAGAGGAGCTGTCAGAGGAGGGGCTCCACAGCCGGATGCTGACGTTTTATTTGCACAGGCAGGACAGCTGAGGTCGCAGGGGTTAAGTTGTTACATCTACTCACGACTGCGGCCTCCCACACTTTAGTACCTTTGGATCAGCTGCACATATGAAATGATTTAAAAGCCTCAAACAATTTGCTTAAGTGAGATGAAGAGCGCTTTGGAAAAAAAATACTCCTCCGTGTCAAAAAGCATGTGTTTTAATGTCCAGTGGTGGAGAAAGAAAACAGAAACCTAACAAAGCAAAAGACAGGGGCAAAAGTAGGTTAAATTACAGATTTAATTTACTTATTGTAAAAAAAAAAAAAAAAAAGCAGGTGTAAAAAGAGGTAGACGCATTAGAATACTGCAAATATTTGTCGTGAAGAGTCAAATTAAATGTATGGTTCCTGATTAGAATAGCGTTTCGTTGATTTAGAGGTAGGCCTGATGATTTTGAAATAATGAAAGTACTTTTGTAAAAGTGCAAATTGAATTTCTAGTCACAGAAAATTGCACTTATTTTTCACGGTTTCCGTCAGTGTATTGGAAGCGCAGCAGTCTATCAGGCCTAAGTTTACCCCCCACTGGGTCTGTGCATCGGTGATTAAAAAACATATCGGTGATTAAAAAACAGCAACAAAATGAGTAGAAATGTGCATGAGTTCGGTGATCTTAAAGGTGTCTTACTGTACAACGCCCATCTGAATGTCAGATTCTCTAATTGCCGCCACCACTTCTGGTGTTAGTCAGTTTTTAGATCTCTTCTCATGTGTAGTTTGTCCGAAGTCATTAACTTGTTGCTCTGTTATCCAAGAAACCTTTGAAGCCTTTGAGCAACACATACATAAACTTAAGTCACTGATCTAAAAAAAAAAAAACTTAATCTGAATTAATTAATCTTAACGCGTAACTGAAGTTAAACTTGAAGTCTGGTTTTAATTGAATATCGCAAGTCACATCTTCTATTGCAAACGCTTCAAATGCGGATGGTTTTGATCCATCTAGACCACAAATGAAAGCTTGTGTGTAAATGCAGCATCTCGCTGCAACTTGTCCACAGTGTGATGTAGATGTATGGCTTCACAAACTTACAATCGCATGGCTTCACACATGTGTTACTCACAAACACATTCACACGTGGTAAGTGATGAACCAACACACAAACAACACAAAGCGCATGATTTATAAAAGAAAAGTTCCTTTGATCGTTTAATTAGTAAGCACTTGTGTTGAAACAGATGCTGCTGTGTGTGTGTGTGCGTGTGTGTGTGTAGATCCACACCGTACAGATGCGTAGGAAAACAGCTGAATGGTGTGTGTAGGTATTTGAATTATAAGTATGTATACTACACTCCTTAGGAATCCCTGATGTGCTCCTGATATCTGCTGATGGGCTGCAGCTATCAAGACACTGATAAGCATCTGGGTTTATTTCTTGCCAAATAATGCTCCCACACTGAAACACTGCTGGCATTAAGATTCAATCTCTTAATGAGATGGCGTGTGTTGGGCTAATCACATTTGCTACAATGGGTTCCAGCCACAGTCTGCATTTGTGTTCTATACTCAAAAGATGATCCCTTCCTGTGCATGTGTTTTAGTGTGTATGAAAGTAACGTCTTACCTATTTTTTTTTCAGATCTATTTATTCATTTTTCTTGTGCGAGTTTAAGATGATACACGCAGCCTTTTCTGTACATTGACATGTCTAATGTTTCTGCATCGTGAAAGCATTTATTCACGACGTACGCTGCTATTTCCGCAGGTTTAAGCGTCCATGTTTTTGTTTTCGTGTCTGAGAACGAGTTGCAGAAACGCTTCAGAGTTTGTGTGAGATTGATTGAGTCACACATGGTGTGAGTGCACCAGCCATTGATTCCAGGGTCATTTTGGTCTGCTGACAGGTAAAATGTCAACATCGCCTGATGATTTGCCAGGTGGATGGACACCTTCTCTAACGACCAACCTCTGTCCACTTTATCTTTCAACCAGACTGGCTTGTGCTGAGTCGCTTATGTGTTAACTGTTGACTTTAACCGGGACACTTTTAATGCACTGTAATATTTACTATTATGGACCAAAAAAATCATTAAATGTTGTATGTGATATACATTGGTCTACCAATGTAAACCTAACTTTAATATTATTGTTTCTCCTGTGTCGCCAAAAAAGCTTGATCTTTTCTCGAGGCAGCACGAGACACCCCACCATTGACAGACATATCCTTTAGGCACTGGGTAGGGTGTAGCGATTACATGGCTTGGACTTGGGGATGTTTGATTACCTTTGGATGTGGGGAATGTGGAAGTCAAAACCATCCGTGGGGTCTTTGTCATGTTTGCGATCAGTTTCTGGGATGTTTTTGATACACAGTGGAGTACATTGTCCAGCTGGAGGAAGCTGTTGCTGCAAGGTGGTGCAATTTCTGATCCATCCATCCATCCATCCATCCATCCAGAATTATAGCGGCGAGAGTGAAAAGGGAAGTTTACAACATGGCAGTGAGACCTGCTATAATATATGTTTTGAAGACGGTGGCACAAACAGAACGACACGAGGTGGAGCTGGAAGTGGCAGAGTCGAAGGTTTTAAGATTTACATTGGGACTCACCAGGATGAGTGTATCAGAGGAACAGCTCAAGTTGAGCAGTCTGGAGACAAAGTTAGCGAGGTGGTGCAGAGACAGTTTGGACATGTGAAGAGGAGGTATAGTGGATATATTTGACAAAGGTTGTTGAATATGGAGCTGCCAGACAGGAGAAAAAGAGGAAGACTTCCGAGGAGGTTGTGTGGATGTAGTGAAGGCAGACATGCCTTTCAGACCTACAGTTAATTTGTCTACCACCATTTAATGTAGCAAATATGCCTTTGGACTGTTAGAGTAAGCCATATTATGCAGAGAGAACCCATCCAGGCATAACAAAAAGACAGATTTTCTACTTATCACTGACTTTTTTTGTATGACTTCTTAATCATCTCATGTTGATTTCTGTTTTTTTTTCCCTTGTGGTATCAGTGCACTGCCTACTCAGACCTACCATGTCCAAGTTTGGTTGTCAGCACATAGGCAGTGAGTGGAGTGTAGCATATGCAAAAGAAATACCAGTGTAGTTACTGATTCAACACAACGTCTTATTATGCAACCCAAGGCTGGACAGAGGAATTGTAGTTGCTGCCTATTTATGCTGCAAAAAAATAATTACTTATAAAAGAATAAATATCTAGTAACTTAGTGTTCAACATGCATATATTGTGGAATATTGTTCCTCTGTAGAAATGACGAAGAATTCAATATAATATATGTAATCTCAAACAGTTATTGTACTCAGAGGGTATTTTCTCACTCATGAAACTGCAGGTGCACTGATCAAAAAAAAATTGCGCTCAGATTTGAGGAGCTTAAAAGGAATCCTGAAGAGGCTGCTCTTTGTCTCCTTAGATCATGGTGACATTTGAGACACCTGAGCACATAAAAGGGTCTCTGTGTTTAGGTTCCCTCTTGCTTCCAGGTAGGAAGGAGGTGGTTGGCCAGCACCCAGTGGAAAATGCTGGAAGATGCAAAAGGATCTATTTGATAGGGTGAACAGAAGGAGGGACGTGCGTATGTGGGTGACTGTATAAATACTGTCAGGATGCCATCCGGTGTTTGCATGAGTAGATACAGAGTTGCTACCCTATTAAAGATGT